CAACACTAGGTTTTCATCCACAGATTCCAGACATTTAATGATAACTTCATTATTATGAGACCATAATTGACAACTGGTATTAATGTTTTAATTTCACTTGTTAGTCCCATTTAACAATTGCTCATCGTAATTTGTAAAATTAAATTGTCTTGAGTTTAAGCATTTCATTGTAAAAATTTCCTGTTTAATAGAAAATTAATCTTTTTAACTTCCCAAGCCATTCTGTGATCAATATATTAAAGGATAATTTTGTCCAGCTTCTTGAAACAATTTTTCTTTTTTGCAATCAAAAGTATTGACAGTGAGCAGGATCATTTCAAGATCACAAAAAAGGAGCTGAAAACTGCACGTCTATTTTATTCTATTTATCATGTGTACATGAAAAGGAGTAGATTGTACAACACAAAAATTTCAAATTTCAAATCATATGTTTGTTGAAATATAGCTCATTTTTGTCGAGCCTGTGACTTTTGTCGCAGAAAGCTCGACATAGGGATAGTGATCCGGCGGCGGCGTTAGCTAACTTCTTAAAAGCTTTATATTTTAGAAGGTGGAAGACCTGGATGCTTCATACTTTGTATATGGATGCCTCATGTTACGAAGTTTCCGTCAGTCACATGTCCAATGTCCTTGACCTCATTTTCATGGTTCAGTGACTACTTGAAAAAAAAGTTGATTTTTTGTAATGTTAAATTCTCTCTTATCATAAGTAATAGGATAACTATATTTGGTATGTGCGTACCTTGCAAGGTCCTCATGCCTGTCAGACAGTTTTCACTTGACCTCGACCTCATTTCATGGATCAGTGAACAAGGTTAAGTTTTGGTGGTCAAGTCCATATCTCAGATACTATAAGCAATAGGCCTAGTAAATTCGGTGTATGGAAGGACTGTAAGGTGTACATGTCCAACTGGCAGGTGTCATCTGACCTTGACCTCATTTTCATGGTTCAGTGGTTATAGTTAAGTTTTTGTGTTTTGGTCTGTTTTTCTTATACTGTATGCAATAGGTCTACTATATTTGGTGTATGGAATGATTGTAAGGTGTACATGTCTAGCTGGCAGGTGTCATCTGACCTTGACCTCATTTTCATGGTTCAGTGGTTATAGTTTAGTTTTTGTGTTTTGGTCCGTTTTTCTTATACTTTATGCAATAGGTCTTCTATATTTGGTGTATGGAATGATTGTAAGGTGTACATGTCCAACTGGCAGGTGTCAACTGACTTTGACCTCATTTTCATGGTTCAGTGGTCAAAGTTAAGTTTTTGAGTTTGGTCTTTTTTCTTATACTATATGCAATAAGTCAACTATATTTGGTGTATGGAAAAATTCTATGATGTACATGTCAGTCTCGTAGGTTTTATTTGACCTTGACCTCATTTTCACGGTTCATTGCTCAGTGTTAAGTTTATGTGTTTCAGTCTGTTTTTCTTAAACTATAAGCAATAGGTCAGCTATATTTGTTGTATGGAAGGATTGTAAGCTGTTCATGTCTGCCTGGCATGGTTCATCTGACCTTGACCTCATTTTCACGATTCATTGGTCAATGTTTAGTTTTCATGGTTAAGTCTGTTTCTTAGAAACTATAAGCAATAGGTCAACTATATTAAGTGTATTGAATGATTGCAAGGTGTACATGTATTTCTCGTTTGGTTTATATGACCTTGACTTCATTTTCTTGGATCATGTTAAGTTTATGTAATAGTTGTAATAAAGCTTTCATTTAGGACTATCAACATAACATCAATGGTTAGTAAAGAAGGCGAGACATTTCAGCGTGTGCACTCTTGTATACAATTTAGATCTTTTATTGAAAAAGGTATTAGACTGATCTTAACCCTATCATACCGTTTGAATTACAACATAAATTAATTTGCTCCTTGGTATCAAACCATTCTATCTTTTTCAAATTTGGTAATTACAATATAGGTAAAGCACTTGCCATCATTAAATACTTTAAAAAAATAAAATAAGTAAAACCCAATTATCAATAACTGACTGCAGCTATTCTTCATTGGATCCTTTTTGAAACTCATGGCCTGAGACAAAGAGTAATCTAAGAGCTTGACTCTTTAACAGGGATCCAACTTGAGCCTCATTAGTTCAAAGGAGTTTTCCATTAGTCCATAATAATTAAGAAATAATTGTTGCAAGCTATACTTTATTGTAATTTTAACATGGGTAGGCATAATACTGTAAATTCAGAAATTATTGCGTGCATTTATTATTGCAATTTTGTCATTTTAGACTAAAATGCGATTTTAATTTTTGCGATATTTAGAAAAATCCTGTTAAGTTCAAATAAAAAATTTCAAAATGCGAGTTTAAATTATTGCGATTATAACCCTGTCGCATTTTTCGCAATAATAAAAACATCGCAATAATTTCTGAATTTACAGTATATACGTGATTATTTTTGCCTGAGCGATAGCATACAATCAGTTCTGTTAACCAAGCAGTTTTAGATTTATATTAGACCCTGTTTCAGACTTTGGGGATTTAATCACTAAAAAAGTTAAAGATAACCAGACTATTTTAGATTTAACTGGTAATCTGTTTTCTTTTCACGGTAGCAAAAAAGAGCTGATTCCTGTAAGTCTGTATATTGGCTGCTTCTGGTTCTTATCCATTTAAGGAACCAATGATTCAGGAGAGTGCAGTAACCTTGCCTCAGTCCATTATTGTCAAGATATCAGTGATTTTCCTTTTTTTCTGACAAAAGTCATTGGAATTTATCTTACATAAAACAAATTTTGATATAACCAATCAAAAATGCTATCATAAATAATCTGGGAACAAAAAATTTTACTTTTTCAATTGTAAATTTTGCTACTATTTTTCTTTCAAGTATAAAACTACCGGTAAAGTAAAAAGTAAAAATCTATTTTATTGAAGTATTACGTGCCATTTGAGTTTTGAAATTAATTTAAATTATAAAGTATTGAAATTAATTTTTATTATAAAGAATCTCTATTTATATCATTTCTTTGAGTTCTTAATTTTTTCTTTCTAAATTCTTTTATTAAATCTAAAGATTTCATACTTGATACATGTAATATCATTTTGCATCATATTTGTATTTTTTCATTTCAGCTTCTTTTTCTTTTACCACTGAAACTTCACAGAATAATTGCGTACATTTTGAAGTTGTGTACCTGCTTATATGAAATTGTTTGAGGAATTTCCCCCCATTCTTCCCTTAATTCTGATCTTGATGATTGTTTTCCAAAATTTTCAAAGATGGTACTGATTTTGTGTAATCAACTCCTGCAGTTTTCAATCTCAATCTTTTTAACTTCACACAATGATTGTACAAATATTTAAGTTGTCCATTTGGTACTATGGAATTGTTTTATAATTTTTTTCCTGACTTGGGAACTAAGTAATTTTTCATCAAAGGTAAAATAAATAGTTTTCAACCCATATCTTTTGGAATTCACAGAGAGTTTGCAAATCTATAGAGGCTTTTACAAATTTTGGGACTATACATGACTACTATGTACATGAGTAGTAAACCTTGAAAATGAGATATTTTTGATTAATCTATGCTTCAAAATATTTAAAAAATGTTGATTTATATGTTTTTATTATACTATTACTACACTGTACTTTTTTTCTTACATTTGTATAAGTATTTTCATATCAGATGTCTGGTAACTTATATAAAAGCTATTATCTAGAGCTCTGTAAATAAAAAAAAATGTAAATATAGTTCTAAAATATACTTTTAATGAGTGGAAGAAATTGTGGGGTACAGAATACATTTCGTAAATTATCAAAATACAAGTTGCCTGTTTAAAAGCATGTCTGGTATTTTTACAGTACTTTTTAAATGAATTTAATAAATTATTTGTATTTTAAATTGAGAATTTCTTCAGTTTCCATGATTGCAAAAATAATGTGAGATGCCTTAGAACATTCTGGTGACTATTGTACATTTTATAATGTACAATGGAAAGGACATTTCATTACTTAGATAAAATGGATTCAGTGGACTGATTAGCATAAAAAACTATGATGGAAAACCTTTGAAAGCAGCCAAGATAGCAGCTCCAAGGAAGATGGTCAAATAAATCATTCAACCAAGTCTGAGGCTTTACCAAGAAATTAAGAAGGCAAGTTTATTTAAGCCAAATATTTGTATACATTTTCTAGAAATATTCGCCAAGAAGTGCATATTAAGACAACACGCCAGCACCCTTCTGATCTTCTGCATGCAAAACACCATTGATGTATTAATTTTAATAAGTTTTATAATTTATGTTACCATTTTCTTGAACAAGAGGGGCCTCTGTGGCCAAGTGGTCTAAGTAGTTACTACTGTAATCACTAGCCAGTCAACACTCAGGTTGTTAGTTCGAACCCCACTCGTGCGGGTGCACTCGACTCCAATCTTAATTGACTAGGATTGTCAGTTTTCCTACAGAAGGTCGGTGGTTTTCTCCGGGCACTCCGGCTTCCTCCAATAGAAACTGGCCGCCACGAAATAGCCCAAAAGCGGTGCTTAAAAGTGGCGTTAAAACACCAAAAATCAATCAATCAATCTTGAACAAGATTTTCGATCAAAATATTTAAAACTTCAAGGGGAGACAAGTACAATTAACAGCAAGATTTGTTCATTCAATGGGATATAACTGTTAAATTTGCACATCACTTTTGTGCAGTTAAATTCCAAACAAAAACCTTTGACTTGTTTTATTTTTATTATGTCAAGTTTTCTGTTAAGTCAGGTTAATAGTTACTCCTTGCTATAGATCAATGACATTTTGTATTTATTTGCATTACTACCAAAATATCGAATTAATTAGCAATGTTGCTAATCATCACATGTTTTTCATTTTCCGCTGCTAGGCGAGACATCTCTGTCAACAGTTTATCTTACAAACTTGTGTTGATACTATTGTGTACATTTTGTAAGAAATCAGAACATTATATAGTGACTTTATATTTATAGAGAAATAGATTTGTAAAATATATAATGTGTCTTTTTTAATTCTTTTTAGGTTCTTCTGTGATATGTTTTCATGGTGTGGGAATAAGACTTGGTGGTCTAATACAGCTAATACGAAGGTATGTACCAGTATGTTAAATTAGTCCTGTTTTGAAAAAAGAAAAAGTATTTATAATGTATTTGGAAATAGCATGTGCTCTAAGCGTGAAGGTTTGTAGGAGTTTGGTAAGAAGTCTTTGCTTTCTTTAATTGCCTTTAAAGGAGTAAATTTAATTATCTGATTTGATTATGTAAAAGTTTGTTGGGATGCTGGTTTGCTGTTCTCAACTTCTATTACATATTTATAGACTTTTATTTAATTTGCCACTGGACATTTAGCAACCAACAATCAAATGAATCAATCATTCAAAATATGGAATATACATACAGTATATCAAAAATGATCCTTTTAAACAATCTTGAATGACTAATCATTTTATTTTTCAGGTTAGCATCACAGCTTGTCTGTAAAGATTGAAGCTGGGAGTGGGCATTGGAGCTGACTTTTATGGTAAGAACCAATAAAAAAAAAACTATGTAAAAAAAGAAATATGTTAGACATCTACCATTGACTTGTTTTTCATCCTTTTCTGCTAATAAAGACTGGTAGTTCAAAAAATATATCAGCAAATCACTTTTAAACAAAGTAAGAGAAAGGTTTTATGAATCATGATTATAATGACCAGTTACTTATTATTTTGCATTTGATATTGTTTCAATTTTCAGATTTTGACATTTACGTTTAATTCTGTATATTTCTTTTTCAGGTAACTGTGGCTGCATAAAAGGGCTATGTGATTTTACTGTAACAGTAAAGAATGTAATTCAGACTATTTTTGTGTATGTTTGAGAAAATGTTTATAATTTTTACAAAAAGAAAAAAAAAATTATGTACTGGTTCTCCATTTTCAACAAGATTGGAAGTTGTAGGTTAATAGGTCTTTGCAATTTCAAAAATTACTTTCTATTTTCTGTTCATACTCATGTCTAGGCAAAACACTTCCAGTAGTTTAAGAATGGAGAATCTAAAAAAAAGAAAAGAAAAAAAAGAAAAAAAAAGAAAAAAAAAGAAAAAGAAAAAAATGTTCAATTATTGAAATGTTTTTTATTTTTGCAAATTGTAATATATTTTTTCACCTTTGTGTCATTTTTAGCTGAGTTTATAACGAAGGGTATATTATTTTAAGAATATTTTACAAGAAGCATAGTTGAAGAATATCTTGATGAAAGTAGATTGATTGATTTTTGGTATTTAACACCACTTTCAGCATGATTTGCTATATCTTGACTGCCAGTTTTTATTTGTGGAGACAGCCTGGTGAAAACATCCCCTTCAACAGAGAAACTGGCAACTATTGACGTTAAACACACCTACAATGTGAGTGTTCAGAGTGTTGACAGGCTAGTGATATAGTAGTTGAACTACTTTGACCATTCAGCCACCATTACTACATCCGCACTAAATATGTTATTGAAATGTGTTGAAATTTTGTAATTTATTTTTTTATTTTGATAAACGGTATACTATTTATGTTTTTTTGTTATATATAACAAAGATGTGGAGTTCTAACAGGGTGAAATTTAGGTCAAAGGGAGGTAATTTATTATACTGTGTTTAACTTCAAATACTTGAAATTCCCTCAATGTTAGATTTTTATTTACTTGGATACTCACATTTATGCACTTTTTTACATATCAGATGTTTTCTAGATAATACAAATTTAGGGTGGGAAAAATTATGTGTCACTTAAAATAATTACGTGAAATTTTTCAAAAAGTTTATTAATTGAAAGTGCATCTGATATTTTTTATGTATATTACTTAATTTTCTAAAAACAAATGGACACAACATAGATTGACGATTAGATATTGAGAAGAACCACCTTGTCAGCCAGGATAGCAGCTCTTAGGAAGATGGTCAATTAAATCTTCAACCAAGTCTGACTCTTTACCATGAAAATAGAAAAGGCAAGTTTATTTTAGCCAGATCTTTTAAGATAACAGACCCTTCTGAAATATTGCATTTAAAACACCATTGATGAATTAATTTACCAGTTTAGTATTTAAAGATACAAGATACATGAACAAGATTTTCTATTAAAATATCAATAGTAAATCCTAAAAATAGTCATTAAACTTCAAGAAAAGACCAGTACAATTTAAAACACGATTTTGCATTCAATGGGAGATAACTTTGTAAAATATTCAAGATATTTTTTGTGCAGTTAAATTTAAATCTGACGTTTTTTTACTTTTCTGTCTTTTATATTGATTTAAAAAAAAATGATTTTATACAATTGTCTACCTGCAATAAGAAATCAGAACAATATTTAGTAAATTTTAGGTTATCAGTAACACATAAATTGATTTACAAAATGTATAATGTGTTGATTATAATTTCATTTCAGGTTCTTTCTGAGACATGTTTTCATGGTGTGGGAATAAGGCTTGGTGGTCTCATACAGCTAATACAAAGGTATGTACCAGTATGTTAGTCCTGTTTTGGAAAACTCAAATGTATTATAAATATTTTATGGAAAAACAAGATTTGAATGCTTAAAATATTTTTTACAGGAATCTACTCTTATTATTATATCAGTAACCAAATAAGAGTAAAGTTTAGGATTTGAATTGTTTACATAAAAATGTGTTGGCTTGTTGGATTGCTGTCTCATCCATATGTTCTTTTTCTATTTAATGATTTGCCACTGGACCTTAAGCAACCAACAACCATTCATTCAATCTATTCAATATACATACATAATACCAACAAAGAACCTTTTAAACAGTTTTTATATGCCCGTTTACGGGAAATATTATGGTATACCGTTGTCTGTCTGTCCGTCTGTCCGTCCGTCGTCAACATGTCGGACATTAATTAAAAACGCTTTAACCAATTTGCATAAAACTTTGGTGAATTGTTTATATCTATTGACGTGAACTTCCTTTCGTTTTTTATAAATTTTAGATTTTACGTTTCCGAGTTATGGGGTTTTATTCATTAAAAAAAGGGAGTTTTTCCTGTTTTCGGACAAAACTCAAGAATGCTTTCACCAACTTGCAAGAAATTGTGGTGAATTGTTTATATCTATTGACATGAGCTCCCTTTCGATTTTTATAAATTTTAGATTTTACGTTTCCGAGTTGCAGGGTTTTATTAATGAATTATCATTTTATATTTCAGGTTAGCATCACAGCTTGTCTGTAAGGATTGAAGCTGGGAGTGGGCATTGGAGCTGACTTTTATGGTAAGAATCAATACATAGATTTATGAACTTTTCATCCAAGAGCATTTTAAAGCCCAAGATTTTTGTGAGGCACAGATGTAAATCTTACATATTAATGTCTTCTTTACTTATAGTTGAATAAACAATTTAGAAGGAGATATAAAGATATATAAGGGAAGTCAAAAAGTATAATGTATAATGTGAAATCTTGTGATTTCAGTTTTTTTGTTATCTATAGTTGTCCCCATATATGAAAATATGTAAGTGTGGTATGTATGCCAATGAGACAGCCATCAACCAGAGACCAAATGATGTGGATGCAACTAAATATCACCCTATGCCTTCAACAATGAGCAAAACCTATATTGTATAGTTAGCTATAAAGGTTCAACATGACTAAATGTTAAAAAATTCAATCAAGTATGTTAATAGCCTGATATACTATATATAGCTATAAAACAATGTTAAAAAGATATTTGTCAAGACATCAGCCAATGACTTGTTTTTCATCCTTTTATTGCTAAGAAATACTGGTAAAATTTATGTCAACAAATCACTTTATAACAAAGAAAAAGAAATGTTCTATACATTATAATTGTAATGCTCAGTTAAAAATAATTGTTTTGCATTAAATATTATTTCAATGTTCATGAGTAATGTATATTTCTTTTTCAGATAACTGTGGCTGCATAAAATGGTTGTGTGATATAACTGCAACAGTAAAGAATGTAATTCAGACTATTTTTGTGTATGCTTGAGAAAATGTTTATAATTTTTTTACAAAAAAAAATATGTAAAGATTCTCCATTTTCAACAAGATTGGAAGTTGTAGGTTAGCTTGTATTTGACATTACAAAAATTCTTTCTATTTTCCCTTTATACTCATGTCTAGTCAAAACACTTCCAGCAGTTTAAGAATGGATAATCTAAAAGAAAAAGAAAGAAAGAAAAAAGAAAAAAAAATGTTCAATTATTGAAATGTATTTTTTTTTTGCAAATTGTAATGTATATATTTTTGCCATCTTTTTGTTATTTTAGGATTTGAGATACTTTCAAATTTTCCAAGTTACTTTATACATGTAGTTAATGCAATTAAATCTGCGGATGTGAATATTCCCACTAAATTTCTTAGCAAAAATTTTAATTATTTTTGTTTTTTTTAGCAACGTTTCAAAATACCTTACAATAGCAAATGCCTCTCTAGTGTAAACTAAAAAGATGAATAATGGTCTGCAGTAAATATATCCCCTTACAACCTTTTCTTTCATGTTAATTTTAATATCTTTAAGATATGTGACGAGGATGCTCTAATGCAGAGGAATTTACGAAGTTAAGAAGTTAGAAATATATTTTTTGCACTTTTTTTGTCATTTTTAGCTGATTTTGGTTTGTAACCAAGGTGATATTTTTTAAAGAATAATTTTACAAAAGGCATAATTGAAGAACATCTTGTTGAAATTGGATTGCTTGATTTTTGGTGTTAAACACCACTTAAACATGATTTACTATAATTTTGGCTGTAAATTTTTATTTGTGGAGACAGCCAGAGTGCCTGGTGAAAACATCACCTTCATCAGGGAAACAGGCAAACCCTAGTCAAATTAAGAATGAAGTTACACATTTCATGTGAGGGTTCTCAGTGTTGACAGGCTAGTAATACAGTAGTTGAACTACTTATAGGACCACTCTGCCACCATAAGTCGATCAGTACGAAATATTTTATTGAAATGCGTTAGATTTTTGTTATCAATCTATTTTTTAATTTTGATTGTACTATTTTATTTATTTTGTTTAATATAACAAGGATGTGGAGTCCGAACAGGGTGAAATTTGGGTCAAAGGGAGGCAATTTATTATACCCCTGTTTAACTCCACATACTTGAAATTCCCTCAATGTTAGGATTTTCATCTACTTGGATATTCATGTTTGTACATTTTTTTTTTAATATCAGATGTATACTAGCTAATATTTACTATTATTTAGAGCTCTGTAATAAAAAAAAATAAATGTAAGCAGAGCTCTAGATAAGTATGCAGGGTGGGAGAAATCTTGGGTCATTAACAATTGATTTGCTGAAATTTTCAAGAAAGGGGATTTATTGGAAATGCATCTGATATATTTAATGTATAAAACTATATTTAAAAAAAAAGATGTTAAGATGATGAGGAGAGCCACCTTGTCAGCCGGGAGAGCAGCTCTAAGGTAGATGGTCAATTTAATCTTCACCAAGTCAGAGGCTTTACCATGAAAAATATGTGGTAAGTTTATATATTCCACAAATTTTATGGTAATAATATATATATAGGCATTTAATATTATTTTTTAAGGGTTCTTTTCTATCAGTGTTTGATATTTAGAGTATCTAGTCTTACATTTGTTTTCTGTCTGGTATCGAGTGAGCTGTGTTGGATAGAAACCAACTGTATGCAAGTTATTATCAATGAATTTGTAAACTTATGTGGGTCGAACAAATTTTTATGCAAAGTCTGTAACTGTTTGAATATTGAATTGATATAGAATCATTTTCATAAAAGCGTGGACAAGACGATTTCTTGGCGCTCTTATTTTATCTATTGACTGGGTCAGATAAGGTGAAAGTTTGTCTGTAACGTCCACTTGTCACATTGAATGTGTTATAGACATTTAAACTGGGGTCGCCAAAGGTTCTAAATGCCTACATCAAATAGTACGAATTACTAGCAGAGGACAAAACCTTGTGTGTTGATTTAAATGTTGAATAACTATTTTCTTTTTTTCTTCTCTTGTGCCTACATGTACTTTGCTCTTTTATTCTATTTAAATCCCTATTGGAATGCCTCTGACAGACTGAGTGAGCGTAAAATCACTGTTATTTATAGCCAATGGCAAACAAGTTAAAGGTACTGTAAATTCAGAAATTATTGTGTGCAATTATTAATAAATAAATTTGGTGTATTTGCTGTCTTCTGATTGGTTAAAAGTATTACTTTTATTTTCAATGTTGTCAATTTTTATGGCGACACGCCCACTCTGACATTGTATATTCATACGCCAACATCCGTGTACGTTATGGTTAATATAAATAATATAAAAAGTTCTTTGAGCCTTATTTTTGATAGAAATTTATTTATAATGAATGGCTATAATTTATTTTGAATTTATTGAACCATAAAATTAATTTTTGACTCTTCACATTTTACATAATCCGCTTTGCGGATTATTCAATGTGAAGAGTCAAAAATTAATTTTATGGTTCAATAAATTCAAAATAAATAATAACCATTCATTAATTGCGATTTTGTAATTTTAGACTAAAATGCGATTTTAATTTTTGCGATATTGAGAAAAAATCCTGTTTAATTCATATAAAAAATTTCAAAATGCTAGTTTAAATTATTGCCAATACAACAATGTTGCATTTTTCGCATTAATAAAAACATTGCAATAGTTTCTGAATTTACAGTAATTGAGTTAGTATTATTACCAACATAAGTATTGGGGTTGTCTACGCTGTTATGAAAATGGTTTTAAGAATCATCAAAAGAGAGCAAAACCATCCGATTTTGTAATTGAATATTCCAAAATCATTGTCTTATACATATATGTGCACTTGCACAAGGTCAATTTCTATCTCTAGCAGTTTAAAGTTTATATAGTGAAGATGATAATGTATAACAGGTTTTAATAAATGAAACATAGCATTATTTTGTTAGTCTTCTTAGAGACAGATTGATCTGTAAAACAAGTAATTATATTTTTATTTTTTTTATATTTAGGTTGTTATAATGATGATGTTTTCATGGTGTTGGGAGTAAGACTTGGATGTCTGATATTGTTAACATGTTGGTAGGTAATCAAGCATCTTTTTAGTAATATAATATTTGAAATCAATTTCATAAGGTTCTTTAGTACCAAAAAAATAATTTTACACTGATGAGATACCGGTTGAATTTTTTTGGTAAATATAAAACGAGTTTATAATTCAGAATTCCAAATATTTTTTCCATGATTTTTTGTTATCCTAGTGCAATTTTAAATTTAGTACATGTGTAATAATTTTTTTTTAGGAAAGTATAGTATAACTGACTACTTTTATATTCCAGGTTAGCATCAGGTTTCCATTGGGTTACTTGCTGGGATTAAGCTGTTATAAAAGTGAGAACTTATTCATCAACATACAACTTTAATGTGTTTATGTTATAGTGTGATGAATGTCACTAAATAGATTTCAATATATATATTTTTTTTTAATTTACAATTAAAAAAAATCAGTATTCAATCTTTTCATTTTAAAATAATGTACCCTTTAAAGCAGATACTAGATCTGAAGAAGATATATGAAGGGGAGATAACAATAAAATCGGATATTTTTGATACTATATATTTTTGAGTAATCAATATAAGTAATAAACAAATTGTTTAACATACACTGATGTCTGTTTCTTTATTCCCGTTAGATTATTTTAAAATTAAGAATCAACAATTGAAATTTAACTTTGTTTCTTTTTCAGTCGAAAGAGTTGCTGTTGCTGCCTTCCTTGTATGGTAAAATCCTCAGACTACAATCCTGCAAACCATTGGATGAACTGTTGCTATCTTTTGTAAAAAAATCAGCAGATATTTATCTTATAAGCAGAATGAATTATAAATGCAATTAATTTTTAATGCTTTATTATTCAAAATATTTATTTCATTATTTTTTCTTGCATTCAATTATTGTTTTGTGATTGAAGAAATATAAAAAAAAAACTGTGAAATTATTGTTATTTGAGAGGTCCCAAAGGTATGATGTATGGTTTCACAAGATACCCATAAGACTTGCTTCAGTTTACATATATTTTTTAAATTATGTACACTGGTTAAGAATTATAAGTCTTTTGTGAAATGATTTTTTCTGGTTAGAAACCTATTAAGTAGGACTTTGATGGCCAAACACTAAAAGGGAATAAAACAAATCCCCTATTAAACAATTTAAGTACTGAGTTTTTGGTGCAATATGAACTAGAAATAAAAATGTTTTGACTCTGCATTCTTTACATTCATACAAATTAATGGCTGTCAGTTTTATTTATTGGTTTTGTTAATATATTATAAATGCATTATTCAGCATCTGAGGCCACTCAAGTGAAAATAATTACATAGTTTTTGCAGTTTGTCATATTTTCTCATTTTTGTGTGATTGATTTCTATATTTTTTCTCATTTACGATTATTTATATTTTAATGTTTGATTTTTGAGGCTTGTACTCAGCTTCTAAACAATTACCTCCCCCTCCACATGTATAACCAGGATCCTGTAAAAAAAGTTTTGATTTTGAAGGATGGATGGATAATTAAAAATGCAAGATTTTTTTAATGTGCTAGTTCATAATGTAAAAGTCTGCACAAGACATCTAACCCTACCTGAACACATTATTCTGACTTCCAGCTGACCAGTCTTTGCTCCTACTAATTGCTGAATGCTTGGCAGGGGAGCATCAAATACCTATTTTCAATTCTTTGATATGACCCAGGGCAGGACCAAATCCCATGCCCATCTGCACTCATGTTGAGCATAAAAAGGTTATTAAAGAAGATTTGTCTGTCTGTCTGTCCATTATCATCTCTCATCCACCACAGCTTATAAACTATTGGAAAGTTTTCATTTAAACTTTCAGATTATCTTCTGTATCTAATGGCTGTGTGTATTTTATTTTATTATAATGAAATTTTGGGGTTCTCAATTGTAATGAATGGACCTCCTAAGTATTTGAAAAAAAGGGAAAGAAGCTTCTCATACCACCATTTTATCATGTGAAGGATAGGTTGGTTCAAATATATTTGTTTTTAATCATGTTTTTAGTAGTTGGATCTCATTATGACAAAATTTTAATGACTTAAATTCAAAATAAATTTGGGGTTCACACTGATATATATTACAACTATAGCTTTAATGTAAATTTTCTAAGGCTTTGCTATAACAAGATTTGTGTTTTATCTGGTTTTATCTGATTTTAGTGGTTTTTATGTGGTTTTATTTGTTTTTACTGTCAAATCTTGTTATACCAAGCCTTAGTATGATTGAGTTTATATATTTTGATTATACATGCAATTCAAAATATAAATTTACATAATGAGATCAGACATTTATTATGCTTTTAACTCTTCTTAGTGGATAAAATAGAAAAATGAATGAACATAAATATTGAAGTGGTCGTTGAAGATTGACCAAATTACAAGATTTATAAATGCAGAATCTTGCTCTAACTAAATCTATGTTCTTATCTGCTGAACCAACCTATCCTTCAATATGAGTAAAAATATTTTATAAATGGAAAAGTCCATTCTTCGATTGGGGAACCTTTGGATGTGAAAAAAATATACACAATGCCAACAGATACTGAAGATTATTTGAAAGTTTAGGCAAAAACAATTCAATCCTTTTAATTGTGATTGGAAGTTGTAGACGGATGAGCAAACAGATGATATACTTGCTGACTATGGCACATTTCCTAAAGGATATGGACTATGGGTATGGGTTTTGCTCATGGTTGAAGGCTGTAGATGACTGATAGTTGTTAAATTCTATGTCATTTGGTCTCTGGTGGAGAGTTGTCTCGTTGGCAATCATATCTCCTCTTTTTATTTTATATGAAATAATTACTTATTACTTCCTGGGCAAAAAGTTCTGGTTCCAAGAAAATAATAAAAAAAATATTTATATCATACATGTATTGTTAAATAACTATCCTACTTTGATATAAAGAATTGACTTTGGTTAGAAATTGGGAGGAATTATAAAGAAACTTTATATACAATATAAGAGCTTGGGGTTATAAATGTTTAATGAAATGCAGTTAACTATTTCCTTGGTGATCTAATAATTTTTGCATGGATCACGATATTAGTTTATTTAAATAACCCAGTAAATAAATTGAGTACACCTCATAAATGAATTTGATTCATGTACTTTTATGCATTTTTTATCTTAGTATTTACCATTGTATTCCTTGTTATATTTGTAAATGCCTCTTCGTATGTGACAAACTGAGGATTCATATATTTTATGGAATTATATAAATTTATTTTAAGTTTGGTATTTAAAAGTATTGGAAAGCACCAAGTTTAATATTGAGCAAAAAAAAATATTCCTTTAAGACCTAAGGATATTAAAATTTAAGACATGTATCTCAGAACAGAATTGATTTTCTAAATTCTATTTAAACAGCTAGTCTGGGAACTGGTATCAAGAAACTAAAAAGAATCCTCAGCTCTGTCAGTTATTTTGTATAATTGTAATATTTAACCAATGATACCTTACCCATGATGCAGATCCTTTTCCTCCTTTTACTTATAAAGGGACTAAAAACTTATTATTATTACAATTTCTTTGGTATTTGTACACACTTGATGGAGCAGAATGGGTCTGGTTTCATTTGGGTATTTTATATTATGATGCATGATAATGATATAAATAAATAGGTAAATAAAAATTTAATTGAGAAAACCTATCTTATATTTTATTTGAGTCTGAATGACAAATAAAGGGGGAAGAGGTTTCTGTGGTCAAGGGTAACACACAGCTGATTTATTGTATGGTATGGACAAAGTTGAAAAAGCGAGACTTGGGCATGCTTTTTCCATAAGCGGCAACTTCAACAATGTATTTGATTGTGATAAGTTCAAGTTAAAGAAAACAACTAGTGGTAGGTCAATGATATTTGGTATGCAGTTATATAAGCATTGAAACATCTTATTTCTAAGGAGATTATTTTGCTTCTCTCCCTCAGTCATAGTCGACTTAAAACTTTTAATTAGTTTATATATGTATAAGTTTGTGATTAGGTCAATTGAAAGGGAACTATAAGTGGTATGTCAATGATATTTGGTATACAGATGTATAAGCATTGACAAATCTCAGTTCCATAGAGATTGTTCAGCTCCAGCCTCAGTCGTGGTTTATTGACTGAATGTTTTGCATTATTTACATGTGATTTGTGATTAGATCAGTTTAAGATGAGTGACTGATATTTGGTATGCAGTTGTATTGGCATTTGCAAGTCTCATTTTCATAGAGATTATTTGGTCCTACTTCCTTATCATGGTTCATGGACTTTGAAACTTTCACAGTTTAACAAGGAACCAATTGATAAGTCAATGGTGTTGGGTATGCAGTTTTATAAGCATTAGCATTTCCATGGTGTTTTTATTTTGCCCTGAACCGTCAGTCATGGTTCATTGCATAGATAACAAGTTTAAATATTGCAATTTAATTTCAACATTTGCATTATACCACCAAAAAACGCAAGACATATCTCTGTGTCAACAGTTTATATTTCCATCTCTTGGTATCTTTCAACATCATGTTTTGAGTTTTAAATGTCACAGAAACTTCTTTGCTAGTTTAAACAAGACTTGACACAAATGATACCTAGGAATAACATGACAGAAATGTTCATTAGACTTGCTGATTTACCTGATTGGCTGCCAAGTCTTTAAATAGATCTAGAATTCTAAAATGATCTAGTTTATATAAAGGCTCATCAGATACAAACCACAGGGATACAGATCTAGCAGTGGATGCTCCTGATATAAAACTTCATAATCAAGACTGAAGAAGAATGAGTTAATCCATATCTTGTATGCAGTTGCCTTATGGTCTGGTTTAATCTGGCATATGAACATTATCTTGATTCCATTTTTAAGGGTATGTGTACATTATTTGTTTTCAAATTAATTTGACAGTTTTTATGTGTAATAAGGACAATTAATTCTCTTATGGTTATTGCCTGTGATCTATTTCTCACATAAAGAGATATATTTTGTATCACATTGCATGGATTGGGATAAGAAAAAGGTTTACGAAAAATTTGTTAATTTGAGTGGCTTATCCTGCACCATTTGGTCCGGGTACACAGTTATTGTCCTTTGATTTTCGTTGTCAGGTGAAATCAGGAAGTATAGAATCTGTACTTTGGCAACTTCCCTGAATGATTTGATGGTAACAATTTATGAAATAGCATAAAACTAAAGGATTTAAACTTTTATTTGATAGAATTTCTGCAAAAATGACCAATTTTGGCATTTTATGGTCAAAATAAGCATTTCATAGCTTTTTCAATTTTGATGCATAAGTGGCATTCTGACTTTCTATCTGACAGGTTTTTAT